GGGCCTTGAGACGAGAATTGAAGAGATTCCCAGAACGCATGCGCAAGAACTGAGATGAGGACGTTCTTCTTCGACTACTTCTTGTTACCGGCTGCTCACCGCTTAGGAGTTTTACCGCCACACCGTATAAATGATGATCCATATATAAGGCGCTCCGGATTGTAAGGCGCACAGCACTGTCGTATTTGAGAAGATTAAAGGCTTTTAAATGCACCTTATAGTGCGGAATATACGGTAATTGAAACGCGTATGTACAGCGCGCGTCTTCCTCTGCTTGTAAACAGAAAGTTTGTGCGCTTCCAGCTATATCAGCACGTCATCTTATACGGTAGGGGGCGGTAAAACTAGCGGTGAGCAGCCGGTAACAAGAAGTAGTCGAAGAAGACCCCCGTCCTCATCTCAGTTCTCGCGCATGCGTTCTGGAAATCTCTTCAATTCTCGTCTCAAGGCCATGAGGAAGTAATGGAATAGTCGAATAAACTCGTTATTTATGTTTTTTTCGGCATAAAAAGTATTCTGTCGCTTGATAAACTTATAATTGAGCCGCTGTAGGCACATGGAATATTTAAACATTTTCTTTAATGACTTTATGGGCCGTCAAGTGCTAGTCCCTTAGGAAGTCTATGGAGGAGTGATCCAGCTCTCAAATTTAATCAAAAATATCTTCATTTGTGCTCCGAAGATGAACGAAGGTCTTACGGGGTTGGTACAGCATGGGGGTGAGTAATTAATGACTTAATTTTCATTTTTGGGTGAAACTAACCCTTTAACGTCAGTTAGATGACGCTCATCCTAGGACGTCATCTAAGTGACGCTTTTGACCATGCGTCTAAATCCGACGCACACGGCAACCTTTACCGTCAGTTAGATGACGCTCATCCTAGGATGTGATTCTAGACGCGCTAGAATGGATGTGAAAGTGAACACTCCTGATTTCACTGAGAGCAAGTCATGTACTGTAGTGTGAACCGCACAGTTCAGCCTGACGTTTTAAAATCATGTAGTGTGAACAAGGCATTACATGCCAAAACTATTTAGAGAGGTGTCATGATTGAACTACTTTTGAGTCCTGTAAGAAAGTCATACGTTTGGAATGACACGTGACGTGGATGAGTACATGGGTAAACTGTCACACATTTGTGCATTTATTTGACCTTTCTTTCTTTCTTTCTTTTCTTCCTTTCTTTCTTTCTTGAGATTGCTTCAGATATATGTTGAATTTTTAACCTCAAAATATATATTTTCAACTCTATTATTGATCTTGATAGAATTGTTAAATGTATTACTAAGACTGAGAAAGAAACAGAGGAAAAAGCGTGGGTGTGTGATTGTTGGTGTATTTGCAGTCTGTTTTGGTACAATCTAAATGTTTCCAAATGAGAGGCTTTTGTTTTTCACCTTATGCTTCCTTCTTCAATCACACATGCAGAAATGCACATGCTCCACAAATGCTAAAAAGCTCAGTTAAAAGCTCAAGGCTGTGCAGTGCTGCAACATGAACCACACACACACGTTTTCTTCAGGCTATTCTTCACATAAAGCTTAAAGGTTTATCACATACAGACACTAGAGGTGTATACAACACTCGATTTTGTTATCTTTGTTGGGCCTTTCCATAGTCGTAATGATTTTTTATACTGTTCAAACGGTATAATTCCCTACACTAACCCTACCCCTAATCTTACCCATCACAGAAAACTTTCTACATTTAAAAAAACAAACAGAAAAACCCCCACATATGTTTATTAATCCATTTCCCTCATGGAGAACGCTGGTGAGTCCCCACAATGTAGGTGATCTCAGTGTTACTATCCTTGTGGGAACATTTAGTCACTGTAACATAAACCTGTACTCACACTCGCGCACACACTCGACACTCGCACACACCTCACTGCAGTGTTATAAACATCTGCTCATGTGCTGCAGTCTAGTGGTATCTCTTAAGTTTCCCATGCAGAATTAGTTTTCTTTTACTGCAGTATAGTGGACATCTGACAGTGTGTCATGGACCAAAACATCTGTTATGCATCACCATTTCACATTGGATTTCACACACAAGTTTGTAGATGTTCTCCTTGAGAGTTAAGGTAATAGATATTGGGCATCTAAATCTTTATGTTTCTCATAGTTTTTTTTTTTTTAAAGATTTTTTTAAACGTTTAAATGCACAGTAGAAAATGTTAGTAAAAAGTTAGCACAGTTAGAGTGGAAAATTTTACATTTTAAAATGTCAAAACAGGCCTATTAATTTAATATATCTTGTACTTTATATAGGCTAGTTTTAAAACTGTAAGACTGTTAAAATCGTGTCTTATTAGTACATTTTGGACATTAATTTGAACTTTTAGACATCATTTATCACCTTTGTGCTGTCTATGAATATTCATTCATTTTACTGAAAAAAACAAAATATCGAATGACTCAAATTGGTCGTTATATTAACATTAGCCTACTTTATACTTTAATGACATACAGTTAGGAACTGAAACGTAGTCACCCAAATGACATTGTAAAAACGCACCATATGTTTGCAAAAATTACCTTACCTTAATATGTATTTTTTTTATTTAAGACCATACATATACTTAAAGTCAAAGTATATAGCCCATTGTTAAAATTAAGTTTTTAGTAGTACAAAAGTCAAAAGTGTGACTCTCTCTCTCAAACACACTCACGCGCACACACACACAGACACACACACGTAGGCTACGTCACAATTACTAAAAAATATTATATATAGGCCTACAGTATATATATGTATATTATTTTTTTGTAATTTTAGTACAGAAAATGTAGTACAAAAGTATATTAAGTAGGCTTATATGCACTTATGCATTTTAGTTTTAAAGGACACACAATTTTTGTTTAGGGATCTGCTAATTAAACGTTAACCGTGTACTGTATGACTCACATGCCTTCACCGACATATGCAGACCTAAAACTAACTGTGACCTTATTGAGCCTCATCAACGTCAAACTGAGTGAAAGTCTCTCTTCTGTCATCCCATCCCCATTCAGCCAATTCACCGCAGTGCTGAAAGAGTGAGAGCGAGCGAGCGAGCGACGTGAGAGAGCGCGAGAAAGAGAGGGAGAGAACACGCGTGTGTGCTGTGTGTGTGTGTGTGCGAGTGCGTGCGTGTGTGTGTGTGTGTTTGTTAGTGTGTGAAAGAGCGAGTGAGGTAGAGAGAGAAGAAAACTGCGAAATCTGTCAAGGTTTTCCTGGCGTTTGGTTATTCCTCTCGACGCCTGTGCCGCGCTGACTCGGGTCGCGTGCTGGAGGGTGAGTGCTCGTGCTCTTCTTTCTTCATGCACATTACCTTAGCTGTATGAGTGGCGCGTGATTAGAGAGATCGATTCGTTACGGTGCTTTCGAGCCAAGTATGACAGGTCAATTCATATCCAATAGTCCTGCGGACCACGTAGCCTACTATAGTGAAACGCTGATTTTTATTTATTTATTTATTTTTAACATGTATTCATTTAACAGTATATTCTCTAGTTTGCGACCAAAGTCGAAATTGTAACATGTGAGTTTTGTATCTTTATTTTTTTTTGTCGCACTTAGCGCGAGACTCGTAGTTAGGTTAGATTATGCGCTCGTGTCGTGGACGGACTGGTATGTGTCATGGATGTTGCTCATTTCCCTACTGCTGACTTTGTGAACGCTACGAGAAGAGAGAGTATAGGCTACTGCGGTTGTGAGGATTTGACAAGGGGTAGACACGATGCTGTATATGGGACAGGATTTGCCTTCATTGTAAGAAAGAGATGAAATGCAGCTGACTACTGTACTGAAATATGCTAAATAATGTCCTAATGATATGTAGCCTAAATATATAGAAATGTTTCTGTCAGGGTTGTGTTTAGATGGATAGAAAACATCATTAGCCTAGATAAGGAAGTCATAGGTGTTTGTTTGTCTGTATTGTAGATAGTAAAATCTGAAATCACTTTGTGAAATGACTTTGTAGGGTCCAACTAACTGTCTCAACGTGGAAAACCGGCTTAAAGTGATAATGTTCTAATGAAAAAAATGTTTATGTGAGGATATGGAATATCATTACCTCAATATAAAAACAATAGAACTCTAAGGAAAGTCTCCTTTATGATGTTGTGAGAGAGATGGGGATAAAGTGACGTGTAGAATGGCCAAATTATTTATATATTTGATTCTGCCTTGAGTCAGGTATGATTATTTTCTGCCTCCTTGTGCCTAGAATGAAGATCAGTTTGAGCTTTATGAATGGCGCTCTGTATCTCCGGCTGAAATCATGAATGTGCACATGTGAATGCATGTGCGTGTGTTATTGAAAGCTCGCACATGCGTGCAGGCCTGCATGCGTGACTGTCCTCTGAGATATTTTGGGCCAAGGTCTTTCCTCAGACCCCTTCCTTTTTTCTCTCTCTCTCATTCCTTTTGCTCTAAATACTTGAATACCATCTTTTCATAAGCACGCATTTCTGTGTTTTCTCTACTCATTTCCTCCCACACTCTTCCCACTTGCCAGTTGGCCTAACCTGCTGACAGGGGAACATATTGCCATCTCTACAGAAAACTACACTCCCCTTGGGCTCTTGCTCCCCAGTCGAGTGGACACACCATCTGTGGAAGTCCCAGTTCACCACGAGGGCTGTCTTTCTAAATGTGGTCATGTCTGGCATATTGAACGCCCTCCTACGTAAGACCTATATTGCCCAAATCCCCTGGAAGACATAAAGGACGACTGGATATTGTTCTGTTGTGCTGTAAGGCTAATAGGGGCCGATGTTTTAGATTGGTTGAGTTATGTTATAGTGTTTTTAATGGTCACAGCAGTGAGGGTTTTATTACGTTACCGGACTGCCAGATTTTCAGCCCAATGTAGATTGCAGCACTGTACAGTTATTTTACGTTCCTGTAGGATGTCACTCTTTTTAGGTGAGCACACCTAATTTTATTGAGTGCAGTTTTGTTATATATGTTGTACACAAATATAATATTTTGTACTTTGTATTTTCACAAACATGTGACAGAAATCACTAACCCCCTAGAAACCCTTCTTGGTCAAGATTACAAAGTTTTGGTCTGTGCGTCGCCTGATTTCAGCACCACTGTGACGGACAGCTCCCAATTGCCTGTTTCCTCTCCCACCCTGTATGCCTTGATTTGCCCTCTTTTATCTTTTTCTCTTTCACTGAGTGTCTTTCTACTCGCTTCGCCCCTCACTTCATTTAAATGGGTTACATTGGTACCTGCACATTTACATTTCAATAGCTGTATCACATGACCAGCTGTTTCTGCAGTATGCACATTTTGACCACTATGATTTATTCATGTATTTTTAAAATCATCTCCATGGTATGACCATATGCTACTTGTACAGTATTCACACACTCATATTTAAGAAATTTAAATATTTAAATTATTTTTAAATATTTAACTCTCCCTTAAATTATTCAAATTTAATTGCTTTAAATCATTTAAATATTATTTTTATTTTAATATATATATATATATATATATATATTATAAACATAAAAATAATATTTAAGCCAAAAATGTAATCTATAAATAGGGCTGGGCAACGATTAGTGTATATTTATTTTGTATATATATAAATACGCACACATCACATGCATGGTCTGTTGTATAGGACTAGATGTTGATATCCCTCAATACATGCATACTTGAGGCACTGACTGGACTCCGTGGGATAATCAAATGAGTGATGTCACCCTTTGGGTTATCAAGTGGGCGCCCTCCTTCTTTGGCGTCCTCGGTTCACTCCCTAGGTGCCATCACTTCATTTGACGACCCTGACCCAGAGTCCTTTCTCTTCATCCACAGCCACTGGCTTCCCTTTTCAGCAGCCCTGGAGAGGTCTTTGACTGCCTGCCGATGGGCTTTCCCTCGCACTCCCATCTCCCTGAGTAGCCTGGATGTTGAGGTGGCTACGAACCCTCTGCAGCCTACTTCCACTGGGCATATGTTCGCTTTCCAGCCTTGTTGTTGTGCATCGGCTGCAAGTTCAGCGTACCACAGCCTTTTCCTTTCATAAGCCTACTCCGCTGCACCCTCCCAGCGCACGGTGAGCACGATGATGTAAACAAGCTTGAGTGATGTTGACCACAGAACAAGGTCTGGTTGCTGGTTTGTAGCGGCGATCTCAACTGGGAAGCAGAGTTTCTTGCCCAAGTCAGCCAGTAGCTTCCAGTCCCGTGCTCTACCCAGCTGACCAGTGTCTGGTATTGTGGCGGTGAGGCTGGCTTGACCCTCTCCCTCTCGAACAAATGGTATTAGCTGCCCCCGGGATGACTGGAGAGGAAGGGCGTTCACACTTGCCCTTCGACTTTCTAGCACAGCTGCAAGACTCTTTAGAACCTGGTTGTGCCGCCAGGTATAACGACCTTGGTTGAGGCTGGTCTTGCATCCCACTAAGAATTGCCAGACTTGGACATAGAGGGCACGTAGGGTCTTCGGTGTACCACTGGCTTAGGTTTGCATTGGAAGGCAGGACATCGTAGGCAGCCCTGATTGTGAAACTTGTCCTGAAAGCCTCCATCTCCCACAACTCTTTCCAGGAGATCCTCCTCTTCTCCACTCCTTTCCATGCCAGCCACTGCCCTTGTTTTGCCTGCGCCACGGCTTGACGGTTCTGCTTCCTCCTCCCGATGTATCTCCTGGACTACCAGCTTGCGTCTCTGAGTATCTCTTGGTGTACTGACCCAGCTGCCTAGACCACTCCTCCCCTCTTGTACTCGGCCCACAATGTCCCTGTGTCTGAGTGCTGCCTTTGCCTGCTCAGTAGCAGCCAATGGGGTCCATCTCCTCCCGGTGGCAAGGATGGGGGCCGCTTGGGCTACAAATGGATCACTCGAATCCAGCAGCATCATCTCCAGTCTGACTTTGGCGCACTTGTACTCCTCTGTCAGACTGGAAATGGGCAGTTGTAACATCCCCCTACCGTAGAGTCCAATTCTGCTGAAGCACCTGGGACGGCCGAGCCACTTCCTTATATATGAACTGACCAGTCTCTCCAGCTTCTCCACCTTTGAGAGCGGGACTTCATAAAGAGTTAGCGGCCACAGGAGACGTGGAAGTAGTCCAAACTGCATGCACCAGAGTTTGAGCTTGCCAGGAAGAATGGTTTTGTCAATGTTCTCCAGTCCGGTGGCTACCTCCGTCCTGAGCTGCTCTACCTGCTCTTTGTCTTTGAGGGAGGCGTCGTACCAACGACCTAGGCCAGGGATGCCCAACCCTGCTCCTGCCGATCGACTGTCCTGCAAAGTTTATCTCCAACTCTAATCAAACACACCCGAAGCAACCAATTAAGGTCTTCAGGATCACTTGAAAATTAAAGGCAGGTGTGTTTCAGATGTTCAGATGCAAAAGCCTCTAAGTGCCATTTGAAATTTTCTTCTAGAATGATCATTTTTATCAAGCTTGTATATTTAAGTTCAGTGATTTCACTTAAATGGCAATGATAATTACCTATTAATTGTTATTTAATTGAAATTATACAAGTTTGATAAAAATCATCATGAAAGAAGAAAATTTCAAATGGCATTTAGAGGCTTTTGCATCTGAACTCTAGATATATATATATAGATAGATAGATAGATAGATAGATAGATAGATATCATCATATATATATCAATGATTTATCGCAATTAATCGCATCCAAAATAAAAAATATATATATTATTTTTATATATATTATATTTTTATTTTATTTTATTTTTCTACTGGACAATGAATAGCATACTATACCCAAGCAACACACACATTTTTTTTTTGGGTGATACTTGGGCCAGTAACCCAACCATCCAGAGTTCCCTATAGCTGCTCAGAACACTTTAGACGCTGTGCAGCAATGCCCTGGCAACCACCCACAACATCCTTGAAAGAGATTTTGCATATGGAAACTCTGAACCTTCATAAAATGTACTACTATTGCAATGCACGTACACCGAGTGCTAATGCATTCTTCAGAGGAACTTCATTATTCACCAAATTATCTTTCCTGCAGCCATTTTTCCTAACCTTTAACTTCTTCAAAGCTCCTCTTTTCTCCTCTGCTCTGTCAATGCTCTCTGGATTATCTTAACCCTCACACATAAACCACCATTCACTACGAATCCTTCATTCATATCAAGCACGCCCTGGGGCTCCCGACACTAACTGGAGAGGATTTCACCAATAATAACCCATTGTGTTCTTCTCCCCCTGCCAAAAACCAAGCCTAAAAAAAAAAAAAAAAATTAACAAATTCAGGGCTTCTAATCCAACGCTGTATGGTGCCATTCTGTGAATTGAGGGGAATTGTGGCTCTTCAGGAGGCATGTCAATCAAATCCTCGCTCTTGTTCCAGAGCGTGAGTGCAAACCGTGTAACAATCCAGGAGGCATTACATTGCAAAATCTTTCCAATACTATTCACATTCTCTATTTGTTGCTTATTCTTTCGGTATTTACCTTCAAGCTTTGATGTGTCGATCTATTCAGCAGATATAGCTGTGATGTTTCAGTGCCGGGTGTTACCACAACCAGTTCTGTAAGACCAAACAATGAATGTAGCTAATGATCTGTTTGTGTAATCGCCTATTTGTCAGAATACAGACCTTTTTAGGGGCTAGTTGATTAATAGCTAGCACAAGTGGGTAGTGAGGTGCAGAATCCAGTTTGTGTCCCAATCTCATTCTCCCTCTTTCTCCCTTGCACTTTCCTGCTATTCCGTCTCGTTCGTTAGAAGCAAAAGCCATACAAATAAAATAACTAATGATTTATAGTGTCTTTAAGCACTCATATAATTCCAAAGATATGTCTCACTGCACGCTTGCCCCTAATCATTTTAGTCATACATTATTTAAAGGACACTGTTTGTCCTTCATCTGTTTGTTCTGTTGATGAGTCACACACTTGTTCAGTAGTCGATGGAGGGGAATTTTTCATCAAGCCCTTCAGGCACAGCTAATATAATCATTTTTGACTTATAGTTATTCTAGTGTCCTCTATTTGCCTTGGCAAGTGGTCGATATTAAAATAAAACCTGGTAAAACAATTCAAGAGTTTTTCCACATGACTACCGCTTTTGCACAAATTAAGGAAGAATTATTCATTGGGAAATGGTTGTTTCACCTCTTTGCAGAGACATAAGTTGTTGAACAATTTCTGAATGGTTCAAATTGAGTAGAATTATTTTAATTATATGTAATAATTGCAACTACTCAAGTGACTAAGTTGGTTTGAAACCAGCAACATTATTACATACACATTTTTTTCTGCTCAATTTCTCTGCTCTTGGCTTCGAGTACACACAGTGACGGGATAGAATTGCTTATTTATAAGGTTATGTATTATTTTCAAGTGTTTTTATTTATGTGTTTGTTTATTTATGTGATCAGACCGATCGTTTATCGTCCAGAACATATATAGTGTTCAAAAGTTCAAGGTCAGTGAAAATATTTGTAATTTTTTAAGTCTATTATGCTCACCGATGCTGCATTTATTTGATCAAAAGTTGATCAAATATTTTGTAATATTATTAAAATTTAAAATAACTATTTTCTACGTGAATATATATATTAGAACGTAATTTATTCCTGTGATGGAAAAGCTACATTTTCATTCCAAAATCATTCCGGTGCACAAGAAATATTTGTTATCATCAATACTGAAATCAGTTATGCTGCTTCAAATAAAAATATTTGTAATCGCAACATTTTTTTCTTTTGTCAAATCAACTTAAATGATTTATGCAGTTCAGATAACATAATATTGTGAGTTTCTGGTGATTAAATCAATCTCCTTCATTGTATTAACTCAATTTTTCCATTTCAATGAACTTAAAATTTTAAGGCAACCAGGTTACTTCAGTTTTTAAGTTAAACCAACAATATTTTTGTACTGTGTATCGTTTAAAAAAATAGCATTTATCTATTGTAACATCATAAATGTTTACACTTTTGATCGATTTAATGCATTCTTGCTTTAGTAAAAGTTTTATATTATTTTTTTAATGTTAGTGTATGTGTTCTTGTTTCACTAGGGCCAGTAGCCAACAACCCAGAACACAATTGCAACCACATAGCAAAGCCATATATTTAATTGCATATTTGTATGTTTATTTATTTATGAACGTTCTTCTCTCCCCTCTTTTTAGATGAGTTCATTTAGCACCAGGGCACTGACGCTTCTGTCGTCGGTGTTTGGGGCGTGCGGGCTGCTCCTGGTTGGTGTGGCTGTGTCGACGGACTACTGGCTGTTAATGGAAGAGGGTATTGTCCTGCAGCAGAACCAGACCAATGAGGTGAAGATGGCTCTGCATTCTGGACTCTGGAGGGTCTGTTTTGTGGCTGGTAGGTCCCATTACTGATAGAGCTGCATCCTCTTCTATATCACCTGACCAGGGGTGCGTTTCCCCAAAGCATCGTTAACCAACTATGGTCGCATGTTCCGTCATTACCAACTTAGTTCAACGATTTGCCGTTTTCTGAAACCATAGTTCCAATGAACATTCACATAGAGCATTGCAAACGTACAGTGGTGGAACTACAGCTCTCGACCTGTGGTTAGAAGAATATTTTCTTGTTAAATGACACATGGACTTAAATAGATCATGCTATTGAGCACAATAACATTCAGCACATTCTTCGGGTCCTATCATACACCTAGTGAAATACGGAGCCAGGCAAGACTCAATTTCAGCCTGACGCAGTTATCATTTTCACGTCCTGCACCATGTTGTTTATATAGACCATTTCACAAGATGTAAACAACACTGGTCCAGAAACACTTCCTGTTTCAGTTTGTAACTGTTTTCTTTATTTCACATGTAAAGAAAACATCTTAACGATGTTTGTTTAACTTTTTGATTCAGTTTTAAATGTTCTGTTGGTTGTATTTTATCCCAGCTTTTATGTAGTGTTAAAAAACTGAAACAGGAAGTGCTTCTGGACCAGTGTTGTTTACATCTTGTGAAATGGTCTATAGCAAATGCATTGGCGCCCATTTGTGCACCCATGGGGTGTTCAGGTGCATTATTGACGCGTTGCTATTTTGAGGCAACTGAAATAGACAACTGAAACCTGGTCTAAATTTAAACAACTAAAACCTGGTTTAAAGTCAATTGCGCAATATTTTATTTTGCGTGTTAAAGAGCGTGTTAGTAATGTGGGCCTATAGGCGTGTCTACAATGCGCATGCATCCTGCTTTTTACCCACACAGGGACACAAACCAGTCAAATATTAAAAATAAAAGCATCACAATTTAAAAGATTATTATTGTGGTACATAAAGATATGGTGGAATCTGTCTTTTCCCATTGATGATCTGTTGAAAGGATACGCTCAAAACACACCCACTACTTATTAAGAGAATAGGGACAACCCTTTAGACCATGCGCCGGACACACCAACCATTTTTCCCGTTGTTAAACTAGCAGAAGTGGATTCAGACTCGCCCTAAGTGCACTTGCGCCGTGCGCTTTAGACTATACGCTTAGATTGTTAAAATAAGGCCCTATGTCTTTCATTCTAGTTAAATATATATACATATATATTCAACTAGCAGAAGTTATTACTCCTCCCCCGTGGCAGTCCTATGTTGTTGAATCAATGTGGTTCAAACAACAATAGGTGCAATCATGTCACCGCGGTTTGGGGAAACAGTTGTGAGTTAGTTATATCTCCAGTGATGCATCGTACTAGATAATCAATGAGTTACATAGTTGTATGGGAAACACACCCCAGTTTGTTTGATTAAAACTCAAATGGCAAATGATTGTGGCATCATGTTGTGTGAAGCAAGCATCACTTGATGTTGACTCTTGCATCTGGTGTTGCTCACAGATTCAAAGGTGAATCCCTTTGCAACTGTGTATCATCAAATGGCAGTGTCATCTGAATGGTTAAGAAGCAGATTATTTGTGGGGCGTCATGCTGTGTTATGCAGCTGGTCTTCAGTGTCCCTGCACTGGTGTGGCATCCTATTGCATCACCCTCCCAAATCGTGTCACACATTGAAACAGGAACTAGTGAGGCTGTGTGGGCAAAGCACTGCAAGATGCCAAATCAGTAACTACAGTACATAAAATTCCTAAGCTAATAAAAGATGCAATGAAACACACCTTTTTTAGTTTGACTGAAAGTGCACCTATTATTCTATTTTTAAGGTTCCTCATTTTTTTTTTAGGTCTCCTACAATAGGCTTACATGCATTTAAGGTCAAAAAACACTCACAGCGTCTGAAACGGTTTGATCAAGGATCCGGTTTCTTTAAACCCCTCCTTTTCGAGAGCTACTCTGCTCTGGTTGGTCAGATGGCCCAGTCTGTTGTGATTGGTCTACTGCTTACAGCACATATCAGAAACGAAACTCCCATAATCATCTGAATGTGAGCTTCCTCAGCAATTTTATACACAGTTATGTACAGTAAAGATGGCGTCAGTTTTAACGTATCAATTCGATCCAAATCCTAAGTCCTCATCCTTTGGAAGTACATGCAAAGTGGATTTGCGTTTGCAGTCTCGACATGTCGACAACACAAACCAAACTTCTCCAGGCATCAGCCACAACTACAGTGTTTAAAGGAGTAGTTCACTTAAAAAAAAAAAAAAAAAAACTTTTGCCGATAATTTACTCACCCCCATGTCATTCTTTCTTCACTCGAAAAGAAATTAAGGTTTTTGATGAAAACATTCCAGGATTTTTCTCCATATAGTAGACTTCAATGGGAACCAAATGGTTCAAGGTCCAAAAGACACTTTCAGTGCAAACTGTTCAAAGGGCTTTAAATGATTCTAGATGATGAATAAGGGTCTTATCAAGTGAAATGATTGCTCATTAAAAACACAAAAAAAACAAAGTTTAAGTTTTATAAGCTCAAACGGTCGCCTTGCTCTGTTCTGTGATGCATGTTCGTGACTCTCCTTTTCGAACTCGTTTATCAAAATGAACGAATCTTTTTTTTTTTTGTCATTTGGTTCATTCAACGAACAGAATTAACGAGTTCACTCTGGAAAAGATTCGTTCATTTTGATGAACAAGTTCGAATAGGAGAGTCATGAACACGCATCACACCCTAACCCTAACAGAGAGCAAGGCGACCATTAAAGCTTATGAAACTTAAACTTTGTTGTTTTTTTTTTTTTAAATGAGCGATCGTTTCACTTGATAAGACCCTTATTCATCATCTGAAATCGTTTAAAGCCCTATGAACAGTTTGCAGTTTGCACTGAAACTGTCTTTTGGACCTTGAACCGTTTGGTTCCCATTGAAGTGCATTATATGGAGAAAAATCCTGGAATGTTTTTATCAAAAACCTTAATTTATTTTTGACTGAAGAAAGAATGACATGGATATCTTGGATGACATGGGGGTGAGTAAATTATCACTTATCAGCAATAGTTTTTTCAAAAGTGAACTTTTCCTTTAAGGGTCAAAGTAGATGTTGTTCATGGGCAGCCAATGAAGACCTGGCATTATGCAAATTTGTTGCAAACCTACTTAGGTTCATACAGGAAGTAAGACTGGAATTACTGACAACTCGTTTCAGACCGTTCAGAAATGCACTTGATCTTTTTCAAAAAACAGCTATGTTACACACTACATGACAGGTAATATCGGAATAGGCATAATAGGGGCACTTTGAGGAAAATGCAATCATTTGTGTTGCAATTCGTACATGTTGCTTTGCATGGCATGCTGGTTTGTTTTCATGACATTGACAGGAAGTGCTGAGGTGGACTGAAATGATGCCACACCAGCTGGTGGCAAATGGCTGACTAAGAGAAGTGTGAGGATGATGTCACCTTGTTTCTAGCTTAACCAGGTCTGGTATTTAGTTTGCCTGTATGTGGGTGTTTGACAAATCACTACAGGAAGGCGTTTTGCCCATTAGGTGTGTTGTGTGAATAATTTGCACTCTTTTCATGCGCTCTAGAGAGCATATGATTTATGTGTTTAAAAATGATCTTTTATATGTGTGTGTGCCGAGAGGGAGGTCTAATGTGTCCTTCTTTCATGCACATTATGCAGAAGTGTCATGTCCATTTAGAGCCTCTTCAGATTTTTGTGTTGTTGATTTAAAATAATTAAAATGATTGTAGGTTAAAAATGTTTTCAAAATTGGGACCACAATGGGGTGCTAGATCTGCGAAAAATTTGAGAGAGAAAAAGAGAAAGGATTATTTCAATGAAAAAAATCTCACAAAAAAATATTGCATTTCCCCCAAAATGTTCGCATTCACTCGAAAAAGCACAGATCTAGTTTTCCTTCCTCCTCATATTATTTCGTCACAAGCATTTTACACAAGCAATATACTGTAAATTTTTGCCAAATCAAATTTTTTTTTTAAAACTATCACCACGTCCATTTAAGGGCTCTGTAAAGATATGTTGTAAACCTATTTTCCAGGTAATATTTAACAACATCATTTATGCCAGGTATTTAAATTAGTTGTCTTCAAAATGCAAAATGCATACATGAAATTATTTAGCAACCTTTAAAAAACTGTATGACGCTTCTGACTATAAGTGCAGTGTATACGTGTAATACATGTCAGTTTTTTTCGCCTCTGAACCAAAATCATTGGTGTGTTTCTTTCTGTTTGTCCCTGTCTCCCCTACTGTCATTGTCAATCTCTGTCCCGCTCTGCCTGTACACCCTCTCTCTGTCTCTCTTTGTGTCCCTGTCTCTCTTTGTTCCCCTGTCTCTCTCTCTTTCTCTCTGTCTCTTTTTCTATCTCAGGGCCAGAGAAGGGGAGATGTGTGGCATCTGAATACTTCACCGAGCCAGAAATAGAGATCACTACTGAGAACACAGCCAATATACTGAGTAAGAAAAATTAATACACTTATTGTGCATGAATACACTTGGAAAAACAACGGTTTGAGTGCAAGATGTTAAATTCAGTAGTTCCTTTAAAGTGCTGTAAAAGAGTGAATTGTATTCTGTAATTGTATATACAAAAAATCAATGGCATGACCTTTTTGTTTTGCAAAATCTAGATTTTAAACTGTAAAAAATGATCATGATTTTAACGGTAAAAGACATGATGCTAAAATGCTACAGTACAGACAAAATGCTACAGTGCAAAACTGTTAATTGGTTAACAGAAAGTTTCCTTTCTATATACGGTAATGTAATTTTATTGTAAAATACCGCTACATTTACAGTTTTTGAAAGTGAAAAAGAACAACTCATTCTATAATTTACAGCGAAAAACCGTAAATTGACATAAATTTCCTGCGTGACACTTCACATTTGATTTATTTTTGTTGAAATAACTGTTTCTTCTTAGTCAGTTACGTACATCAGTTACGTACATTAGGGTTTTAGGTTGCATTTAATGTTGTTAAATGATTGTTCACTGTAAAAATTAATCCTGTAAAACAAACAAACAAACAAACAAAAAAAAAACGGTAAACTACTGGCAGCTATGGTTGCCAGCATCATACCTTAACAATACGGTGTGTTACTGTTTTCGTGTTACAGCATATAGCTGTTAAATTAAAGTTTTATACTGTAGCTGACCATACGGTATTTAGCTGTTAATTTATAAAACAGTAACACACCGTATTTTTATGGTATGATGCTGGCAACCACAGTTGCCAGTAGTTTACCGTTTTTTTGTTTTTTTTTTACAGGATTATTTTTTACAGTGTATTGTATTTTTAAAATTTCATGCGTGTTACCATGATGGTGTTTAATGTTTGTGCAAATAAGTCTGTGCAGCTTCTATATAATAGACTAGTATTAATTTTCTTATGGAAGACTGTTTGAGATGAGCTTTGATCATGTGACTCTCATCACTACTGTGATGACTGTTGGTTGTCAGTGTATTACAATGGTACATGTATTCATTTTTAAATAGGTTGGTAAATTAACATTAGATCAGATAATGAATTGGGTTTATTACTGTAAATTTTAAGATAAATCTGTTAAATCAGTAACGTTGATACCGTATTTTTGACGGTAAAGTTCTGGTAACCACAGCATGCGTTTTTTTTCCCCCCGTAAAAATGTAGGTTAAAATATATAGAGAGCATATATTATATTATATTATATTATATTATATTATATTATATTATATTATATTATATTATATTATATTATATTATATTATATTATATTATTGTCACATTGCACCGGTCAAATACCACGACGAAGGAGATATACTTATAGGTTTTCTTCAAAATACTCTGGACAGGAATACGGAGGAGAAAACACGAACTAGACTTCCACATACACGTTAACGAGAACCGACAAGACAACTATGAACTGAAACAGAAGGATATGAAAACAGAGGAAACAAACAAAGGGAACTAGATGAACAGAATCTAATCAATGATTAACGACCAACAAACTAGAGAGTGTTTTGAACACAGGCAATCGAGAACAAAGGATATACACGTTACAATTATTATATTATATTGTGCTATAAATTAAAAGCATAATAATCACATTTTAGTTTATTAGTTATTTAGTTTTTTTTTTAAATGACAGTTAGTACAATTTTAAGTTTTTCAATATAATATGAGGCCATAAAATGCATACACATTTTACAAATACACACACAAGCACAAATATACTATATATATATACACACACACACACACACACTAATAACACTAATAATAAAAGTCCCCCAGGTCTGTTAAACACAATGTAAATATGAATGCTATCATACTTTAAATGGGCACTGTATGTAAGCAATAAGGTGCGAGAGCCTGTGCTGTGTCGTGAATAAGTAACGGCTAAAGGCGTTGTTACCCCCTGCAACCCCTTCAGCCGTTACTTATTCCCGATACAGCACTTGCCTCGAGTACCTTATTGCTTTTATAAAACGGTTGCCACACAATATTAAAATAAAAAACAATGTATTAGTGCAACTTTCTTGAAGTAAAATCACTAAAAGCCTTCCTTCCGCTAGAAAAAATAGTCCCTGAGCGTGAACAGCAACAACGTTCCAAGGTGTAAAATGCATGAAAGCTCAAATAAAAACAACATAGATCTGCAGTGTTGCGCAGCGATCAATAGAACTGTTGGGTGAAGCGGTCATAGCCGTGTTTTATTGTGAATAAAACACAGCTCTTGACCAATCATAATCAAGGATTCGAACTAACCGTTTTATATATATATACTGTATATATACTGTATATACTTTGAGGGACTAACATTTGATAATTTCAATAATTTGTTGTTTCCTTTTCTCTTCAGAAATGGTGAGGACGGCCACCCCCTTCCCGATGGTCTCACTCCTCTTCGTCTTCACGGCCTTTGTCATAAGCAACATCGGCCACATCCGCCCTCAGCGCACCATCCTGGCCTTCGTCTCTGGAATCTTCTTCATCTTATCAGGTAAGTTGTGTGTACTCTGCTCAAAACCCTTCTTGATTCTCATCATCATGTTTCTGATGATGTTCACACTTTTGCAGCCTATAGTTGTGTACCCTCTTAAATATTACATTCTGTTTACTGATATTCAGTTTCAGTGGTAAGCCTGGTAATCCTCCACAACTCTGTCCGAAATCAGGCTACGGATCCCACTGAGAGCTTTGCATATTTAATAAATGGTGTTCCCGATATCCATCTATGGTAATGTGCGATACACAATATCCATTAAATGTTCCTTTTTCTCACAAACAGTAATTAATAAGAGAGGTCTCTCTGATCCAGTCGACAGAGCTCTGCCTAACAGCTGTCATTTGCTCTCGGCTAATATAAACAAATTATTAAGAATGTCAAAGTGCGTTTAGATTTGACTAATTTGCATGCAAATTACGTCCTAAAACAGATCTGGTGTGCATTAACGTTCTGAAAGAAATCTTTATTGAAGCATTACTCTAAATACAACATCACCAATATATAAAGAATGATACTGCAGGGCTGTATTGATACCAGAAGAATAATTGCCAATTTTCTCAAGTTGTACCAGGACATCCAGATTGTAGTGAGGAATTGTGACTTTCACAATACTCCGTGTGGCTTGAAGACAGCTATATGGCAGATCTATATCAGTTGATTGTATCAGTTGCCTGCTGACAGTTGTACAAATCAGCCTGCAGGAACAGATTTCCCATAATGGTTTAGAAAGCTTGTGTTTGAACAGTGCTAGAATACTGGAACAGGACAGGTTTTCGATTAGCTCTATATGGAATAGTTGATTCTAATTTTGGAATATTGCATTTAGTCATATATTTTTGGATTATGTAATAGTGTAATATCTGTATAATGAGGATAAATGTTCATCGACAAGCTTTTTTTCCCATGAATAAGACGAGATGATGACGAGGCAACAATAAGCTCATTAAATGATAACTGCGATTATATCAACTTGCAATATCGACTAAAGACTAAAATGTAGTTAAAAAATAAAAACTTTACCAAAATTATTTTGGTTGAAAGAAAACCCCCGAAATATTACTGATGCTGTACAAGCCTCTACTGCAAGCTTTCATGTTTGCGGTTGCCAGGTGTCAAGAGTGTAAATCCACCAATCAGAGCTGTTCTGTTAAAAGGATACATTTTCTGCCCATTTTTTTTTTTTACTTAAAGGGATAGTTCACCCTAAAATTCTGTCATTAATCACTCACCCTCATGTCGTTCCAAATCCGTAAGATCTTCGGAACAAAAATGAAGATCTTTTTTTTATGAAATCTCTGAGAGCTTTCTGTCCCTCCATTGACATAAACAATTACCACTTTGAGGCTTATTTTTTAATTTATTTTTTCATATAATCACTTTATATGATGAATAGATTTTTTTTTTAATTCACATTTAAACATTTGGTTAACACTTCATTTGAAGGGGTGTGCATAAGACTGACATGACACCTTCATAATCATGACATGACATACGTCATAAATATGAAGGGGGGTTTATGTAGGCTACAGTATGTTTACGACAACTGACATTTAAGTGTCATTCGCTCAATTATGACATTTTTAATGCAAATATGACTTTGTTTGAGATGTCTTTGTTATGACAACTTGACATTACCAAGACAAAATAAATTGTCATAAATATGTCATAAACATGACATGGCAGATTAGATATCAAACTTAAGAAAGCACTTGGCTTAATGGGTTAACATTACATTAAAGTGTCATGTGGTTGGTTTTGACCTTGGCTGTCATGAGGGCATTATAAATGTGTTATAACTGTAAGAAATATCTTTCTTGACCTCAACTACAGTGGTACAAATTGAATTTGTCATTAACATGTTATAATGCCCTCATGACAGCCAATTTTAAAAAATATGAAATATGTCAAAACAAGTCATGATTATGAAGGTGTCATGTCAGTCTTATGCACACCCCTTCAAGTAAAGTGTTACCAACATTTGTCAGCGAACAAATAAGAGAATCTCAACTGAACCTGCTTGATGCACAAGAACAGACCTCATTGGTTCTTGAGGAAGCTCAAACGTACTACGTAACACGCGAGAATGAACCTCATTTGTTTCATGGACGTTCATTTCATTGATTAAAACTAGACTAAAATGCCCAGACAATATTTCACAGACAATGCTTAGATTAAGCCAGGATTAGATCTTAGTTTAATTTAAGTATATTTTCATAAATGTTCCTTAGAACGTTTTAACCGATGTGCATCTTGAGACAAAACAATGGCACTGGCATATTTTAAGATATGCCAAAGCAAGTTGCTTTCAGTTAAAACAGCTCATGTATTCATTTTAGTCTGGGACCACACTGTAGACTTTAACTTTGTTTGTAAAACTGGGTATTAGTTGACTAAAACTTGACCTAAAAACATGGATGAATATGATAGAATAAATATGATAGAATTTAAGAAGTGTATTTGACACAACAATAGCAATTACTGTGTAATTGATCATGTCCCAGGCTATCGATTTTCCCCTTAGCTCTGCTTGTTTCATGTCTCTTATATCACTCAATGGTCTAAAATAATAAAAGAGTTTCAACTAACTTAAATTAACTTCATACAGAAGCAGTGGTTCTCCACTTTTTTTTTTTTTTCAAAAGTTTCAAAACAAAAACTAATTCAGTGTGAATCCCAAAACTAACTAAGACAAAAAAAAAAGACATTTGTCAGTTTTTTTTTTATTTTTGTTTTTTTTTTCAGTTTTTTTTTTTTTAAAATAAGTTATTTAAATGAATAGAATATCATATTTGTGTATTCATTTAATTTGTTTTCAATAATTGTTAGTAATAATCAATCTCCCTTGGAAGTTTGCTAAGGTTGGACCACTGGTTGGTCTCAAAAACATCCTGATCACAATGTCAAGAACGACTGACTCAATTTAATCTTATTACACAACTTGATTCTGATTGGTTAGTCACCGCATTCTGAATTTTTATATTGTATAACAACAGTTACATTACTGTTCAAAAGTTTTGGGGTGAGTACTTTTTTTGCTGTTCTTTTGACTTTTCTATTTTACAAAGAGTCCTCAAAAAATGTATTACAGTTTCCACAAAAATATTAAGCAGCACAGCTGTTTTCAACATTGATATGGTAATAAATCTTCTTAAGCATCAACTCAATGATTTCTGGAGGATAATGTGACACTGAATACTGGATTAATGATTCTGAAAATTCAGCTTTGCCATCACAAATATAAATTACATTTTTAAATATATTCAAATAGAAAACAGTTATTTGAAATTGTAATAATATTTCACAATTTTACTGTTTTTACTGTATTTTTGTTAACATAAATGAAACCTTGATAAGCAAAAGATGCGTTTTCCCCAAAAAACAGTAAAAAAATCTTATGAACCCCAAATGTTGAACGACGGTATACATCGTTTAATTGACCATTGACCCAGGTAACTGATTTCCTACATAACTTTGCTAATTAAATTTTTCCCATCACTCCATCATCTCTTTCTTTTCACATAATAGTAATTTCAGCTCATAACCTTGTGTTTCTGTATTCACAATACAGCTTAGTCTATCACTTATTGCTTAATTGCAGCACTCAATTTGCACATACGCGATACCCTTTACACTCCAATCAAAACAATCAACATTTGCTAATGAGGATACAGTAAATCATTGAGTGGCTGTTAAAATCTAATTTGCCTCACCGCCTTCATTAGATGTCAGGAAATGAACAAAGAGGCAAAAGCAAGGAGTCAGCAGCAGTGGGAGAATCAGCTCTCCCCCCCAATCGTTTGTAACATGTCCCATGTGTTGCAACCGATGTGGCTCTAATGCATGCACTGCTGCAGTTTAATAACACGGATTTTGTAATGCTGGAGAAAGTGCGACTGCAGATTCCTGTGGAAGCACTGCATCAGGTGCTAATGTTACATTTAGCTCAGCATTTTGTACTACAGAATTATTAATAAAGGACAAGACAACACAACAGCGCTGTTGCAAAGTGCTGAACGCAGATATGCACAACGCTGCAAAAAACAAAACACAGACTGTGATGTTCTTTACCATTGTATAGAAGCAGGTACTACATCCAGTATGGATAGTCTTTACTCATCTTGCTTGGTTGTCCTGAAATATATGCCCTGATGTGACACAGCATCTTAATATCAAATCTCTTGCATTTCTAATGCGAAAAGGAAATATGTATGCACATTCCTTGTCGATATTAGCAGCATAGACAGCTGGCAGTGACAGACTGCGATAATGTGTTTGATTGTGCCAGAGGCTTTTCCTTACCGCTGTCTCTCTCTCTCTCTCTTTCTCCTGCACTCCACAAATACCGCAGCAGAGATTTCTCCATCATAACACAGCAAAATTTGAGCACACTATAAATGTTAATGTCTCCTTTTATGACAGGTTGCGTGTTGGTGGGCTGCTTTATCGGTCACTCTCCGCATATAGCTTTCGGGAAGAAAACAGTGTTGACTCTAAATAGTACCGTAATAGGAAAACACTGCAGTAATAACAACACTTTTACTTGTGTGTTTACAGGGCATATTTGCTTCGTTCATTTGCCGTTTTCATTAAAAGCTTTTATTCTCCTTTGGGTGTATAAACTAGTTTTTCCCTTAACTAATGTGAAGGTGTAGCATAGTTATTTTCCAAAACCCTTTCAGACAAACACAAACCGCTTCACACCATATACACAACATGGCAACATTGCATTGCTAAGTAACAACATATGTAGTATTGCTAATACCCTAATTCTCACCCAAAGACTTTAGTCCCAGTAAGTAACCACCTAGCAACCACATAGTTATCACCCTATCAACCAAATAGCAGTACACACACACATAAATTTTGCATCTGCGAGCACCACTGATATTTTCTTTACAATATGTTTCCTGACAAAAAAGAAAGAAAAAAGGTGGTTTGCTGGTCTTTGAGGGCTTGGCGAGGCTCAGAGAACAATGTAAACTAGCTAAGACCCGGTCAAACCATCTAAGACCAGTAAACCATAGACTGGTCTGGCTGGTCTATTGGCTGGTCTTAGAGGGGTTTTGGACACTTTTCATCTGGTCAGGCTTGGAGCCCAGCTAAACACAAGCTTTTCCAGGTTTTCCAGACCTAAACATACCATAATACCATTATTGACGCTAAAGGGTGCCATGTGCGTTGGATTTAGACGAAATTTCAAAAGTGTCACTGTATGACGCCCTAGGATGAGAACGCGTTGGTAAAAATGCATAATGCTTATATATAGTAATGACAGCTTACAGTAGTAAGGTGAATAAATTGTATACTGTATCCACTGCAGTAGTGTTGTACTGAATATTGAATAGTCTGTATATTCACCACTTGCATACTGTGAACATAAAGTGACCCAACTGCAAAAGCCAAAAAAGTTCCAATACGTAATAAAACTCTACATGAAAAGCATTTTACAGTAAAGTACACTCAGAAGAGTTGTGCAACTACAAAATCAAGGTTAGTTAGAGAGATTTGATTCTGCTTCAGCATCATGTCTTCATGTTGGTCCGGCTCATAGCTGTCAACATTGAACATTGAAAATAAGGGAGTTTTCCCGGATTCCATCCCCAAAATAAGGGATTTTTTTTACACGATTCTTACCCACAAACTTTTAAAAATAAAGCACTAATCCTTAAAAGTCTAAAGAGTTCATAACTAGCCTAGAAACTAGTGTCATTTAAAGAAAAAAAATCTACATTTGGATTAGCGGTGTGTTGCTCTTGCCTTTACGACAACAATTTCAACTGTTATCACATCTTCCAAAACCTACAAAATAGGGAATTGGGCTGTCTGTTTATTTCAATTACATTTACACATTTTGTGTAGTTTTAAAGAGCCTATATTTAGCCTGGTGGTGGACCGTCACTCAGAAGACACTCTTGTTATTGTAGCCTATCCCATCTTTATATCCTCCTGAGGCCCAGAATGTTTTTTTTCCAAAAGTTTTTTCTTCTTCTTCGTGTAATCACATTGTTAAGAGCATAAGAAACAAATGAAAAAAAAAAATGAAAAAATATTTTATTCATATGTTATATGACATTAAATTATATATAGGCAAAACTAATGGCAATATAAATCGATTATTATAATTATTATTTGTTTAAATTACATTGATATCTGAATTTATGTAAAAACCTTGACTTTCAAACAACAAAATGTAAAATGTAGGCTATTCGAGTACAAAATGACATATAAACATCGTTTCCTATTTTTTATTTATTTTTTTGCCTGGAAACGCTTTCAACACGCTTACGTGTCGCGTGAAAAAATAGGCGTCAGTTCTATTTCTAGCACGCACGCGTTTTCTGGAGACGCGCGTGTCACGCGGGCAGTGTGCAAGCTCTAATCTGTAACATGGGAGCCGAAATAAAAAACGGACACGCCATTGTGTCTCCGGCCAGCGCGCGCCGCCCCATCCGAGGATAAACGACTTCAAGACGAATCAGTCCGAGCTCGTACGTCTCACACAATCAGAGTAAAAATACGGGATATTTTACGGGAAAATACTAAAACGGGAATACAGCGGGAAAAGAGCAAAAATACGTGAGAAACCCGGAAAAAACGGGAGGGTTGACAGCTATGGTCCGGCTGAAGGAGTTTCTATACATCTCGGACAACGTCATCTCTGCAGACAAAGGGAAAAACGCTAAAGCGGAGTCAGCCTTGATAGTTTTCTCCTTACCTTGCTCTTCCTCGTCCTCTTACTGCTTGTTCACCTCCTCTTACTCAAACTCTTCCTTCTCTCCCTCTTATATTGTTTCCATCCATGGTTGGTTTCAACATTCAGTGCAACATTTTGAGTACATTTTGGGACTCTGAACTGACTTGTATTATGTACAGTTGGTTTGGTGGTCACATCATTAGAAATAAGTGTGAACAATGTTGAGTCGTTGTGTGTAAACAATGACAACTGTGTTGCAGTTGTGTTTAAGGGTGTATTCACACCTGCCTTGTTTGGTTCGATTGAATCGAACTCTAGTTCGTTTGCCCCCTTGGTGCGGACCTTTTGGGCAGGTGTGAATACAGCAATCGAACTCGGGTGCGGACCAAACAACCGAACCAAGACCCAGCTGAAGAGGTGGTCTCGGTACGGTTCCAAACGAACTCTGGTACGGTTCGTTTACGGTGTGAACATGAACCGACCCAATTGCAAGAAAGCACTGCGTCGAAAGAGAATATTGCGCGTCTTTCTGCACGTCTTGCAAAGATGCAAAAAAAATATCATTTGCTGTTCATAAAGCATTTGCAGTTCACCACCTTTTGGTGGTGGTTGACGAGTTTCCACCTTAAAGCGAGTGCCGAGAAAAATTCTATATAAATGTAATGAATTATTATTATTATTATTAATGTAAGGATAGTTACAATACAAGGATGATGATGCATTAATTTACGTTAAACTGGACAAACTTAATCGCAAGCGTTAACATTGACAGCACTTGTTAGTACACAATAAGAATCCCATTATTTGAATGAGTGAACATAGCCCCTCTCTATGAATGAAAACTTTATACCTTCTCCGTCTTCTGTGCCGTGCCACTTGTAACGCAAAGTTGAGATGTTGCCCAGAGATAAAAAAAAAACAGAAGGTGGTCGAATGAAAAGATGCACGAGAGACGAGAGTTGTCGTTTTTCCCCACGTTTATAGAGCCACTCAAACGTTACACTCATCGTCTTCTCAAAATCCGAATTACAACTTCGTACAGATGACATTGTATCATATGATACTCATTAGTTTCTTCATATTGCGTTTGTACAGAATTAACACAAAATTAGTAAAAGAACAAATATTGCAGTATGAAATATATGGAAATATCTCCATGCTGAGCCTTTTTTGCACTTCCTGATTTCCCTTGAGAATCCTTGTCCAATGAATGGACAACCTTAGCACACGTGTGGTTTGGTTTACAAATTTTGGTTCACTTGCAAAAAGAGCAGTGTGAAAGCGAACCGTACCAAAAAAATAATAATAATAATTTATTTGGTCCGGACCAAAGCAAGTGAACTATCGGACTTTCCTGGTGTGAATACACCCTAACTTTCGCCTGCCTGCGTTTAGCATTTGGAAACATAAGGGCATCAAAGTGCAAAATGTGTTTTAGTGAGTGAGAATGTGATTAGAGTTTTGAAAAAAGTGCATGAGATTTGCAAACAGTGTTTTAACCACCTGAACTTATTTAATGTTTTGCAAAAAGAGTGATTTATTCAACAAATTGGTTTAAATTATTGAGAATTTGGTTCAGAGAATGGGGTTTAGTGTTTTAGCAATTCAGAAAAACTGTAAACTAGCTAAGACTAGTTTAAACCATCTAAGACCAGCAAACCAGAGATGGGTCAGACTAGTCTTTTGACTACAGTCCAGCTAAACACAAGCTTAGCCAGGCTGGGGAGCCATCTTAAACAAGCTTTTTCAGGAGGGTTGTTTCCAATATTTCTACTTTACTTTTACTTTTTTATGCATGATTTACCTTTTGTAAATCTGTGTAAATTGCCTTTATGCTGCCTTTATCCTCTTTCATTGTCTTTCTCAGGTTTGAGCTTAGTGGTCGGTTTGGTGCTGTACATCTCCAGTATCAACGATGAAGTGATGAACAGGCCTCGAGAGCCAGAGCAGTTCTTTCACTACCACTACGGCTGGTCGTTTGCCTTTGCTGCCAGCTCCTTCCTGCTCAAAGAGGTCAGTCACAGAGACCAGCTACTGTTAACACTTGAGCTGACTGCGTGTGTACTCTTATCACAGAGCTCAGTTCATTAATATGCAGCTGTGTTAACAGCTTTCTCTCCTAAACCAACAGCTCTGCCCTCATCAGTATGCATTAATTTTAGCCTAGCTTTTGCGAGGGGTGAAGGCTACACATTTTCGTTATGCTGCATATATGCTAATTCAGTAAGTTCAGTGCAGCAATTTGTAAATGTCAGCATCTAGTGTCTGCAGTAACCTCAACTTATATTCATATGATGTATATGCATAGACAGTGGGGTTCAAAAGTATGGGATCACAAAAAAAAAAAAAACACTAATTCAAAAAAGTCTAAATATAAATGGAATCAGTACATAAATGCATAATATTAGGGTGTACTCACACTAGCCAGTTTGAACCGTGCCCGAGCGCGTTTGACCACCAAAGCGCGGTTCGTTTGACTAGTGTGAGTGCTCCGAACCGTGCCCGGGCGCGGCTCGATTAGCCGGCCCTGGCCCGCTTGGGAGAGGTGGGCCAGAGCACGGTTCAGTTGGACTCGGGCGCGGTTCGCATGCAGTGTGAGCGCTAACCGTGCTGGAGCACGGAACAGGATGCGTGAAGTTATAGTTTTAGGAACTGTAGTCCGTAATCAAAGCTACAAAAGTCCGTGCTGCACTTCAGCTGGTAAGTTACCTTGCAAACCTCCTCATACGAGCAGAACGATTACGTGAAAATTTTCGCGCCACTAAGGCGACACATCTGTTTAACAACAGGCTGTGAGAGGGCTGTGGACCACCGTGGACCAAACGACACAAAATTATCTACAAATAAAACAGAGCGATGGACTCCATAGTGTTCAGAGAGCGTGCTCCGGCACGAATGCTGAAACCCTATGTGAGTGCAGGCCAGAGGGGGAGTGGGGAGGGGGGACAATCGTACTCAGGCCCGGTTCATGGCAACCGTGCCTAGTGTGAGTACACCCTTAAAGATGAACGAGAAACAATGAGTGCTCTTTGCCATCCCGGCTATTTAACTACAGCAAACGGGCAAATACCGGTCTATCTGGGTTCCTGAAACCATTCAGTCACGGAGTCATTATGGTGAACACCACTGTATGTAAACGGAGACATATAATCAATTATAGGACAGTTTCTCACTGCTAGAATGAGCTTCTCGTTCAACTTGCCTCGGTCAGACTCAGCACTGAAGAGTGACTCGCTCCACTGACTTCACTACTATTGGTTGTCGCTGGCGAAAATCGCCCTTCATTTGCATAAAGTAAAAAAATTTCGACAGACACGCCCCATCCAGTCGACAACGGTCGCCGGAAGTCGCCCGCTCACCATTGAAAATGAATGGTATCGTGTCGCTTGGTCGCGTGTAGTGTGAATGCAGCTTTAGACGGAGCCGACCGTAATGAAGACACTGGTGGAGCCGAACAAGGTCTAACCGGTCTTGGAGCACAAGGCGGACTAGCGGCCGAGGCGAAGCTAGGGTGCCGGAAGACTGAGGTCACACCGAAGGAAGCCAGAGCCAGAGGGGTTGAGGGATGAGTCGCAGACGAAGGCCCAGAAGTCCATGGCGAAGGCAGAGCGACGAATGACGAAGGTGACGCAGGAGGGACGGGGAAGCCTGGTGGAGCCGTAGGGATGACAGTCCCAGCTGGAGCTGAGGGGAAGAGGTAGACTTGTAGTCAAGACCGCCTAAACCGAGACCAAGACACTACCAAGACCAGAGGGTATCAAGACCAAGACAGACCAAGTCGAGACCAAGTCCGAGACCAAAACCGGTCTCGAGACATACATCACTAGGAAGAGGAGCCACGGTTGAGCCGACAGCTTGATGGGTAGAGGTGGAGTTGCAGGCTCTGAACTTCTAGGTAGAGAATTAGGTCGGCAGTCCAGGGTCGAGTTGACAAACAATCAGCCCGAGGCGGATACACAATGCACCGAGCAGCCAACCTAGGAAGAGATGAAGGGCTGATGAGAGGCAGTGAGGAAGGGGCTGAAGGACTGGGTAGTGCAGAGTGAGGGTTAATTAACGACTGACATGGAACAGGCTCTCAGGAACGGTCTCGTTGGCCGACACGGAACAGACTGAATTTTTTAGGAACGACTCTCTAGGCCGACTCGGAAAAGGCAGAGGAGGTGGGAGTGGAAGGCAGGGCGGGAACATCAAAGACATCATTAACAGTGCTGGGGCAAATAAGTAAGGGTTAATGCCCGACGAGGTGTCCATTGTCAGGTTTTAATGGACGACGGCGAGAAACGAGATTTACTTAGATTTCCACGACGCATGCGCGAGAATTGCGATCTGCTTTACACCACTTCAGATCGCAATTCTCGCGCATGCGTCGTGGAAATCTAAGGAAATCTCGTTTCTGGCCTACAAGGAAGAAAAGAAATAGTCGAATAAACTCGTTATTTTTGTTTGTTTTTTCGCACAAAAAGTATTCGCGACGCTTGATAAACATATAGTTGAGCCACGGTAGTCACTTGGGATATTTAAACATTTTCTTCATTGACTTTCTGGGCCGTCGAGAGGCAGTCCTTTAGGAGCCAATGTGGTAGTTATACAGCTCTCAAATTTAATCAAAAATATCTTCATTTGTGTTCCGAAGACGAACGAAGGTCTTACGGGGTTGGTACAGCATGGGAGTGAGTAATTAATGACTTAATTTTCATTTTTGGGTGAACTAACCCTTTAACAGATACTTTGACTGCCTGTTGCTATGGTTACTCACAGCTGTTGTAGGCAGCGCATTTATTTATTCATTTCGAATGGTAAACAGGCAGTTTCACCAGAACTACTTTACTAGGTGTCCTCTGTCACTTTTAACGGACACCCTGCAGCCAATCAGAATCGAGTATTCACCCAGACCATGGTATAGCAGGCAGTAAAACAGGCATTGTGCTCTTTTCATACTCCTCAAGCTACTACAGTACATAAGTGGTTCTGAGTTCAGCACACTTATTTCCGCATTGGTTGAAGGGATTGGGCTCCATCCCATTCCACTAGTATCCATTCTGCAACAGACGATGTTGTCGCCTCACACACCTGGTCAGACTCAGTGTTGGGCTCTGGTTCTGCGGAGATATAAGGATCAGGTGTTGGCGCTGTCTCTGATAACGCAGCAGGCTCAGGCTTTTTGTCTGCTGTGGGCTCTGCCTTTCTGTCTGCTGGATTGGTTGCGGTGAGTGACACAAAGTGCACGGAATGGACTGTTGTGTTTGATCCTAAATCTCGCCGATGGTAAAGGGGGACCCACAGTGAAACAGGACCCATTCCACAAACGCCTGAAATCTCCCTCGTGGTCCGTCGCTCGTCATCATCGTAGTGTACTAGATGGGCAAAGTCTAAAAATGTGTGTCTCTTGAGGGAGCAGAGGAGGAGGATGCGAACTGATGCTAGATCCATGTGTTGGTCTGTCCTTCTGTCACACACGGTTGCAGAAATGAAGGGAAAAAGCTGGATCTAAATGCAGTTAGTGTTAGTGTTAGTGTTTAATAAGAAAAAAAAAAAAAAAAAAAAACAGGTAACAAAACAGAACAAACGGTAATACATGCAAGACCTGACGATGAACAGAACAAATGTAGAGTTTAAATACACAGAAACGAATTAACAAAATTATGTTGGATATAAATCAATAAGCAACTGTGGAAACATTAAAAAGCAAAGCAATGACACTGAACTAAACCCCACCCAAAACAGAAACAAACACAGATTTTAAAACAGCAGCTTAATATTTCTTGAAAACTTTGATTCATGATTTTTTTGTTTTTTTCAGGAATATTTGATGAATAGAAAGTTTCAAAGAACAGTAGCCTATGTATTTGAAATAGAAAAATCTTTGTAAAATTAGAAACATCTACACAGTCACTATGCATCTTTGCTGAATAAAAATGATTATTTTGTTTAAAAAAAATCATACTTACCTTAAACTTTTGAGCAGCAGTATACAAATGTTAAAATATTTACTTCATGCCATCATGTGTTTAGCATTGGCATTCAGCATGAGTAGTTCATTAAAAAAAAAAACTTTTTGCTGACTTTTTACTCATCCCCATGTCATCCAAGATATCTTTCAGTCGAAAAGAAATTAAGGTTTTGGGTGAAAACATTCCAGGATTTTCTCCATTTAATGGACTTCAATGGGAACCAAATGGTTCAAGGTCCAAATGAGAGTTTCAGTGCAGCTTCAAAGGGCTTTAAACGACACCAGACGATGAATAAGGGTCTTATCTAGCGAAATGATCGGTCATTTAAAAAATAAATAACAAAGTTTAAGTTTTATAAGCACAAATGCTCGCCTGGCTCTGTTCTGTGATGAGCGTTCGTGACTCTCCTGTTCGAACACGTTCATCAAAATGAACAAATCTTTTTTCGAGTCATGACTCGATGGGTCCTAGATAAGACCCTTATTCATCGTCTGCCGTCGATTAAAGCCCTTTGAAGCTCTCATTTGGACCTTGAACCATTTGGTTCCAATGAAGTCCATTATACGGAGAAAAAATGCTGGAATGTTTTCATTAAAAACCCTTAATTTTCTTTTCGACTGAAGAAAGAAACACGTGGACATCTTGGATGACATGGGGGTGAGTAAATTATCAGCAAAAGTTTATTTAAAACTACTCCTACTCCTTTGATGGCAGTTGCCATCTAGTCGTATAGACACTCTGTAATAATGGAGCACTGGTAAAACATCTAATATAATGAACTATTTGTGATTGATATTTGTTCTTGCAAAATGCAAAAATGTTTAATGCATTAAACTAAATGAAACATTCGTTTTGAATGGCTTTTAATGCAAAAAGATGATTTTGTTCCCCAGATGGTGCCAGTCACAGCTAAACTGGGTCATGTCAAGCAGCCAAACCTTGACCCCTTAGGTGGAGAGCATTTTTAATTGGCAAAGTTT